CATGTCCTCCAAACTAAAAAAGTTTTTAGTTATTTCAGCTTCCAGCTCAGTGTTTATCAGTTCGCTCTCAGACAGAATAGTTTTTGCTGAAATTGTGCAACCAGCAACTGATTGATAGTTGACGGATTGATGTCAGTCACATGCTATATGAGATATTCGTAGTGCTACACTGTCATCAGGATACTTCTTCTTTTACTTTTGAGCAACAGCTCTTAAAACTGTTGGTTTTCTACTGAGGAGATAAATCATCAAGATGTAGTTTGTTCATGTTGCCTCTAGGGGACGCTAACAGGTCTGATCTGGATCCTGCCAAAATGAAGTTTTCTGCAGATGTGATGAGGTTTCACAGCGACCTCCTCTTCTTCCTCCTCCTCCTCCTCCTCCTGGCTGTGTTGACATGCAGCAGCAGCAGTAGTGGATGAACCTGACTGCAGGAATGCGTCCTGCAGGCCGACACACGTCTCCTGCCGCCATGTGAGCAGATAACAAACCTCCGACAGACGCTGGCCGACAGAACCACAGAGAGAGAGGAGATGAGAGGATACCGGACCATCAAGTACACTTTGTTCATCTTCTGCTACTTCTTCTGGGTGAGTCGCTGTGTGAGGATCAGATTTATGTACAATGTGGTTTCACTGCTGGTTCCACCGGCTCACAGGAAACAACTGATAGTTTAACTTCTCAACAAAGTTGAGTAGTTTTTTAAAGGATTTACATCCAACAGTGTAAATCTGCGCACTGTATTCAGTAACAAAGTGCAACAGGAGTTTGTTCTCCTTTGTTTATTGTGCAATAACTGTAAAAAATAGTTTACAGATTTTTTCCTGTTTATTTTACAGATTTATTCTGTATTTTCTAAATACATGGAAATATTAATATTAATAATGTGAAAAATCTGTAACTGTAAATAATTAAAGATGAGATATTTTTTGTACATAAAAAGATTAAAATGATGTAAATGTATTAAACTGTTAAATTCAACTTTAATACTGTTCATACATTTCTAACATTATGTAAAATTATTGACATTAACAGTAAAAAAAAGTATTTTGTTGTGTCATTTTACGTGGATTTGATTGTTAACAGAGTTTTTACAAGAAAAATGTAGAATAAATGTTTTTTTTTATCAGTGTATAAGTGTTGGTAAGTGCTAAAACCTTTTTGTTTTTCTGCTGTTTCAACATTTTGTGATTGAAACTTAATAATGAGATAGTGAGGGCTGCCCCCGACTAGAATAGAATAGAATGCCTTTATTGTCACTACACACATGTACAATGAGATTAAAAGCCA